AGCTTCTGTAAAAATGAAGCTTCATGTTGGTAAGTTTTAATTGATTACATCATTTTTAACCAACACACAGAATGGGTCACTGATATTTCTGGTAAACTACTGCACTGCATTCTCTTCAAACAGACATTGTGTGTGTGTGTGTGTGTGTGTGTGTGTGTGGTGGAGGAGGGGGGCACACCTGGCTGTTTCTCCTCCTGGCTTCCTTTGAGCGAAGCTTCTTTTCCAGATCCTGAATCAAAGCGTCTTTGGAACCTTGAATGTCTTCATCTGTGGAGCGGGCGGAGGACGGTCGAGGAGCTATAGCCTTCTTCAGTATGGGTTTGGGAAGGCTGTGAAGTAGAAAGGAAGGAGGGAGAGAACTGAACCCTTCTCCTTACTTCCTGTGTCCTACTTTATTTAGACGTTTCTTTTTTCTTATATATAAAAGACAGCACAAATGTATGCACTGAAAGGATTATATGCATACTTACTACAACAAATAATACAATAATAAAGTACTGGTGGATGCTCATACTAAACATGACTAAAGCTAAAAGCTTAGGCTTCAGACTGCTGGGTTGTTTTTTCTTGAATCTCAACGTCGCGTAAGGGCGGATATTCTTCTTATGGTCGTCTTATGCACACAGCTCGGGCCGTGAGCAGCTCCAGCCTCCTGTTAGTAAAATCTTTTATTTGTACAGGCAGCCAATAACAGGAAAGCTGGATTATAGTTTGGGGAGAGAGAGAGCTAAATAGCTTTGAGACAATGGTTGGACTGAGTGCCTATTATAAAATAAAGATTACTTTGAGTTCAACACTTAAAAACACGGAGAAATAAGTAGAATCTCCTTTAACTGATTTCACAGGACTGTACAGAGTCCTGTCAAAGCTCCATGGCTGGTTAAAAGTTATTCTAAACTCTGAAGAACCTGACATCTGTTCAAAGTGTGTACACTCAGTCAGCCATCTATTAGGTACAGCTATCCATCCATCTTCTTCCGCTTGTCCAGGGCCGGGTTGCAGGGGCAGCAGCCTAAGCAGAGAAGCCCAGACCTCCCTCTCCCCGGCCACCTCCTCCAGCTTGTCCGGGGAAACAGCCAGGCGTTCCCAGGCCAGCTGAAAGATATTATTTCTCCAGCGTGTCCTGGGTCTGCCCCGGGGCCTCCTCCCGGTCGGACACCTCTCCCAGCAGGCATCCTTATCAGATGCCCGAACCACCTCAACTGGCACCTTTCGATGTGGAGGGGCAGCAGCTCTACTCTGAGCCCCTCCTGGATGGCTGAATTTCTCACCCTATCTCTAAGGGAGAGGCCAGCCACCCTTCAGAGGAAGCCCACAGCTTCAATGCGCGATCTCGTTCTTTTGGTCACTACCCACAGGAACGTAGATCGACCGGTACAGCCTGGGATAAATTCTTCCTTCATGAAGTTTTTGTTTAAACTTTCTGACAGAAATGTTTCAATTTTATCATCAGTTTGGAGGCTGTGTGGAGTTATGCTGTGTTTTGGTTTATTTTCAATGTCAAAATATCAGAAACTGAATTTGTACCGACTGTAATAATGTGCATGCCAAATTGTAAACTGAGGTATCGAGCAACTCACGTGCTTGGCGTCCCCTTATAGCTGGCAGGTAAGGAGACCACAGCAGGCTGTACACTGTTCTGGGTGCTGGGAGTGAAAGGCTGCTGTGGGACACAGGAGGGTGAGGAAGAAGAAGAGAGAGGGGAGCATGGGAGGGAAGGAGACACTGGCGGAGGTTGTTGAGGGAGAGCAGATGAAGAAAAGGAGGTTCTCAGAGGGAGGAGAGGGCTTGAGGGTGCGAGTGGGGAGCGGGAGGGGGAGGTGGAGGAGAGGGGACGGTTGGTGTTAGGAGACAGTTTGGACGAGGACTGGGAGGGTAACACTGAGCAGAGGTAAGCAGCAGAGGCCGACATGCTGTCCTGGTTAGCAGGTAAGGTGGCGCTGCCAAGGCCAGTAGCACTGGGGACGCTAGGGGTGAGGGTGATGGTGGAGCGCATGGTGGTGCGGGGGAGAGATGAGGATGGGAGAGATGAGAAGGAGGTGGGAGAGTGACTGAGTATAGGGCTGGCGGAGGAAAGAGCAGGTACAGCAGAGGAGGCCGGGGTGGAGACAGGGGAGCTGAGGCTGGATGAAGACGGAGAACTCTTGGCTGTTCCGTTGGCCTGGATGTGGATCTGTGGCGTTGCGGCGGACTGGTATTGGTTGTGACTGAGGCTCAGTGACTGAAGCTGTGACTGGGTCTCTGACAAGGACTTTGACGCGGACTGAGAAAATGACTGACTTTGTGTGGACATGGCTTTAGTTTGAATCTGCGTCTCCAGGACATTTGGACTTTTCTGGGCACTGTTGAGGTTCTGCTGGGAGTTGTTTTGGTTTTCCTGGGCTTCCTTCAGCACGCTGTCGTAGCTGGGTGCCTGGAAGGCCGGCTGAGACTGAATAAAATGCCTCGGTCGCTCATAGTTGAAGGCGCTGGGAGGGAACGTGCTGGGAGTGAACGTAGGCAGGTCGGACAGGTTCATGTTGTTGCCTCCTGACTGGGAGGACTGGAATGAAGAGGAAAACCAAATTTGCACCATGGAATAAGACTGGATCATGCAACATCTCAGTGCAATGATTAAATAAAAAATTCTGAGCTTTTTACATTTGACAACAGAAAT